CTAACACTGTGCCGGTGCCATAGAGCCATTCAAGGGGCCCTATAACCCGGAAATGATCTCGCACACCCTATTAGGAATGGCGCTCTCAAACGACGGATGTTCGCCGGAATACATCGAGTCAGTTGGGGACAGGGGTCGTAATCTGCTGACATACGTGGCGTATGTCGCGCAGCAACCACTCTTGAAATCATGACCCTCTGTGAGGAAATGTTGGCATCTCCGACTAGAGCCGCGATTTGGCATTAATCTGAATGAGTCTTGGAATCATATAGATTAAAAATAACATCCCTCACACACATCCCTCATTGTGGCGAACAGAATCAAATAATAGCCAATACGTCTTGGGAGACCCTCTGTGCTTACATATTATTAGACAGTACGAAGTTCTGTACAGAAATTATTCGATGTGTATTGAATTAATTTTAATTGTGGTATAGCCGCCCGTTTGAGCCCGTGAGCTCAACTTGCCCTCGCTTTGGAGCCACGACTGCGTCTTCTTACGAGCTTCCAGCCTAGAGTGCACTGGTCTTTGGTCTATAGCTTTCACTCTGCCTGCGCTTCGGAAAGAGCAGCCTTTGGCTAGGTTTTTTGTATTCTTGGAAGTTTTCCATCTAAAACTCGTAATACTTCTATTTGTATATTTATGGTGACCCAGTGTGATTGATTACGGCGTTGGTGTTATCAGATAATGTTCGCATAAATATGCGAGGCAAGCTAGTCTCTACTGAGAGTACGTATGAATTTGTGTGGGTTTTCCATACATGAATCAAGTTAACCGTGCATAGTCACGGTCCTGCACTTACACATAGCGAAACACCCACCACACGGTCTTCCGCGAATATTGTTTCATGACTCAGTCATCTATATGCGTAGATATTTATCGCGAGAGTATATTATGTGAAGAGGATTTCTTATTTGTGGGTATCCATGGAGTCTTACCTTTGTGTATGGTTGTAAGTGTTGCCTCTGAGTCAATTCTCTCTTTATGTATTTCCGTAACAATTATCCGATACCAGGTATAGATAATTTTTTGTTCCTTATCTATAATGATAATGGTTAAAGTATTATTCCATCGCCTATAAATATATGTTATCAAATGAAGCGTTCGCCGAGCGTTGGAAAATATTTTATATAGTTGTAGTGAGCCCAGAGAGCTCTCTTTCCATACTAGTTAGGGACTTTTTAGAGGGCATAACAGCGTTATCACACTATCCTTCTATGATTTCTGAAACTGTTATTGTGATGATGAATTAGATGAAAGGAGTAACATATTTGCCTGTCCCAGATTACTTACAGGTACCTATCTATTTGGTAATCATATTTTATTAATTTTTTTGGATGTGGCTTTCCATCGTGACATTAAATTCCACTTTCCACACCACAGCTGTGTTATAGTATATTATTGAAGTAGTGAAAGAATCAGAGTTTTTGTATGGGTTGGAAGTGGGGAACTAGGAGGATCATTTATCGGTGGTGGTGTTTGGACATGTGGTTTTGTATACAGATGATTGCATGTTTGTTTAAATCAAGGATTTTTTAATTCTATCATAATATACCCCATA